GGGGGGTTGCTCTGGTGTGGTTTTCTCTTTCATTCCTATTAGATATCTATTGTACCTTTCTCTCCTCCTCTTTTTCTTTGTGTGTTGCTCTTATGTTGTAACTCCTCTAACTGTTGTCTTTTATGTGACCTGTTCATGTCGCAAGTGCTGTAAAACTCTTTACTAAAACTACTGTTGTGTGTGGCAAAATGGTAAGTTCTGTTTGCCTTGAATGCAATTGTCATATTACTGATTCGTGCACACAACAATCAGGTTTGACGGGTCCTTGACACTGGCTTTGTCCTATTGCCGCAGACAGGCGTTTAAAAATTGATGGGCTTCCTCTGAAATAGGTTGGGTGTTAAAATGAGGTGGAAATATTATGTTGTCAATGTTCGGAACTTTTTTTTTTTTTTTTTCACATTTGCACTGCTAAGATCAAAGAAAGAAAGATACAAAAGAAGTTTTTTACCATCTAGTATAATGCTATTGTCAGAATAAACAGTGTGTATTGCTGTTTCGAATATGTACATGTATCTATATAACTCTAAAGGTTTTGTGATAAATTCCTACATGTGGTAGAAAGATGCATCTGAAGTGATAAGTACATTATTGTCCGATTTACTTTTCTTTTCATATTGAATTTTATAAGAGTAAAAATATATAATTTGATTTCTGTGTATACCTATGTGTTTTTACGTTCCTGTACAGCCACGACAAATTTCCCCCTGGGACAATAAAGTATTATCTTAGGAGACACATTGGAAGAAACAAATTAACAATAAACTTCTCAACATCATGCCCAAACTGGGTCCACGGAAACCTTCGGGCCTCTCCAGAAGAGACGAAGTCATTTTTACTCGATCACACATCGGACTCACCTCCCGAACACATAACATAAGTACTTCCTTTAGGGAGATGAGAAACCGTTATGTGTCGGATGCGACACAGATCTTACTATTAGACACATTTTAAGAGAATGTCCAGACTTCGGAGAGACCCGATGAAAGTGTTTTAAATGCAAAAAATTGATTGCATGAGCTGTTATCTGTCGTTGATCCCAACAGAATTTTTGATTTTATGAAGGCCATTGGCCTTTACAATAAATTGTAGAAAGCCTTATTTTTTTTAATTTTCAAAGTGTTATTTTAAAAATCGAGATTTTACCACAAATTAAAAACTTTTAGATAAAAATATTGACCTAAAACCAAGACGTGCTGTGAATTGTTGTGAATGCAACCAACTTGTATTTTGTGCCCTCATGTAGCCTTATGCAGTTGCGAGCGCTGTAAAAACTCTCACTAAAGTAAAACTAAAATATTATCTTATCCTATCTTATCATATCTTATCTTTTTCCTTCTCTAGCACCCGTTTCTGCGTCTGGCCAAACCACTGGCGAGTCTAGTTCCCCTGATCATGGCGGCCAAGGAGGCGCAGAAAAGTGGACATTGAGTCCGGACCATGGCGTAGTGGTAGGTGTGACATGTATGGCTGTCTTTTCTGTGTTTGTGTGAGGAATGTGGTGGTGGTTGTGTGTGTGTGAGGAATGTGGTGGTGGTTGTGTTTGTGTGAGGAATGTGGTGGTGGTTGTGTTTGTGTGAGGAATGTGGTGGTGGTGGTGGTTGTGTGAGGAATGTGGTGGTGGTTGTGTGAGGAATGTGGTGGTGGTGTTTGTGTGAGGAATGTGGTGGTGGTTGTGTTTGTGTGAGGAATGTGGTTGTTGTTATTTGTGGGTGGTTGGTTGGTGCTTTGGTGTGGTTTGTTGCTTCTTTCCTACCAAACCTCTATCGTCCTTGTCTGTCCTCCTCCTTTTTTGTGTTTGTTACTCTCTTGTAACACCTCCAATCTTCGGCACTTATATGACCTTATTGTGTTGCAAGTGCCGTAAAACTCTTACTAAAACTAAAACTAAAGTCTGCCTGTGCTGAAGGCCCAGCTTGTATTTCCAGCAGGGGTAACTTTAAAAAAATAGGGTAAACTTTCTTTCCTTTCTATACCATGTCTCGGAGGATGGAACTGGGGTTGGAACTGAGCTCTTTATATTGAATTGTTCAACACTTTACCACCTGACACAGAAATATTTTAGTTAACATTGGCGTACCTCAATGGTTTCTTATATTAACATGAAATTTCAAGAATATTATAGATCAGTCAATTTGACCATGTTTCTGACACTTCTTCTTTCCTCAGAAATTACAGACTTACGAAAATTGGGCGGACCATCTTCCTGAATCTGACACAATCTGCTTGTGGATAGAAGGACGTTTTTTTTTGTTTTTTTTGAATGAGAGTGTTGATTCTACGCAGTGTACTTCAGCAATGGCAGTGTTATCCATGTTGATCAACCGAAACAAAACACACAAAAAAAAAAAGAACTGGACAAGACTTTGACTTCAAGCGATGTTTGGTTGGGAAAGAATGATCATAAATGCTTTGTTGTTGGACCTTCATTACTGTCTCAAGAACACGTGTGAGGCTGCGTGGTGAAATCAGGCACTCGTCAAAATAATGAAATTGAAGACATCGGCATTTTCCCCACCAGTTTGGCTATTTTTATTTAATTTTTTGCATTTAGCTCAACATCTTTTATGTCCATTCAAGAACACATTTCTGTGTGGATTTCACTGAAAAACTTTGCTTAAAGGCACAATAAATGTATGTTTTCAGTTACCACCGGCTCTCAAGCTATGAAAATAACCAAATTCTGGCAGCCATTTTCTCGCAAATTTAACCCTTGAAACAAGGCGACCTTCACCTCTTTCAATTGCAGATATCTCGCCTTTTTTTTTTCAAATAAATGGGTGTTTTTTTCATTTAAGGCAAGACAGGTGAACAAGCTTTTAGATGATTCCAATAACTCCACATGCCCAAAAATTGGCGAGCGCCTGATTCCACGACGTCGTGACACACATCTACTGCTCAGGGTTAGCCTCTGTGATCCGTCACTTTTCTGAACGGCATAAGGCGGTCTTACAGGAAGCAATTGGAATTCTTTGACGGAACTCTTGTAAGGGTACAAGGCAGAGTGTAGTTTAATTGAAACTGGGTCCGGTCCATTTTTGATGAAAATTGAGTTTTTGTTATTATTGTAATTGAGAAATAGGATATCTGGCTATGGTAAGACAATAATTGCCCAATACTCATTCCTATCTGAATTTTGTGAGGAACAAAATTTTTTTGGGGGAGGGTTTTGTGTTTGTTTTAACTGCACATTTGGCCACATGAGCACTTGTTTTATTTGTAAATTTCTTTTGAATGATTACAGTCAATATCCCATAACCTGCAAAATTGGACTTAACCCAGTTTTGGAAAAAAAAAAGTCTTTGGTTGTTCCCGAATAGTACTGTGTGACCCACATCTTGGCTACTGTGTTTGTTGCCACCAGCCAGTCCGGAAAGATTTTTTCGGATCTGAGGACAGCAGTGGATGAACTCACCGCTAGCCTTTGGACTTTTTCTACTATTTCTTCTCTCAATGTGTAAGGATTAGCAGGCAGTCACAGTGTTAGAGTGGCACTTACTTCCGACGTTCGTACGGCTTGTATTTGTGTGCCTTTTGAAATAGAGCTAGGTCTTTTTTTTTTCTCTCTCTTTGTGTGTGTGTACGGCGTATTCATAGCGTTGGTGAGGTAGATGGTTTTTTCCTCTTCTACTATCATGCGGAGTACCTCTAGCATAGACGTGTCAGATTCAATGAGGGTCTCCAAACCCCTCTCCTCCCCTTTCCCTCTCCCCCTCCCCTCTCCCCCCCTTTCCCTCTCCCCCTCCCCTCTCCCCCTTCCCCTGTCACCGCCCCCCTGTATGTACATACCTGCCATATCATCTGTGCTTCTCTGCTTCAGCGTTTGGGCCACTCTGCACATGGCTGGCTTCGCTGTGCATGGGATGTAACTACTAATTTATGCACTAAGTCATGAGTAACCTACAGCTATGTTTGCCATGTGAATGTTCCGCTTTCTTTAGGGATTTGGTTAGCCTTGTGGTGTTTTTGTCTGCTGGAGGAGCTATTGGGGAATGTTTTGTTTTTTATATAATGATTGTTGTATTTGATAATTTTTTTAATAGCTTATTTTTTATATCAAGATTTTTGAAGTTTGACCTGAAGAGAATGTTTGTCCTAAACAAAAAGAAAGAAAACAAAAATATATATACGTCATATTGATGTCTGCAGCTGTTGAGGTAAAAAAGTCGCACGACAGAACGACTTTTCCCTGCCTCACAGACCTATTCCTTTTGCTTATTAAAAAAACCCATCAGAATGATCAAGGTATTTTCTACATTTTTTATAACCTTAGTTTTCACCATCTTTTACTTTGATGTGCTGCTTTTGAAGTCAAAGAAACGAGAACATGGTTCTGTCCTGGTCAGACTTTCGCGGTAGCGGAAAAAATTCAAACAGTTACAATAATTGTCAAGTGGTTCGGAAGATTTTGTATTTAAATCAGTAAGTTGAAAATGCTTGAATTTTTAGAGGGTTTTTACTTTTTCCGTTCTGAATATCATTCTTTTGTTGTGGGGTCGTTGATTGATCTGAAAATTTTTTGTTAGTACCTTCCTACTTCTCCTTGCTCTTTGTGGAATTCAAAATTGGCACCGTTCACAATGTAGGAATGAAGATTAACAAGATATTATCCCGCCTTTATTGTGCTTTGCACCCATTATGGACAGCTGACGGCTGTTTCTCTGTATCTGGTGGTATCCATTTTTTTTGTGCTTGAGGATCGGGTTCTTTACTCGTTAACGTGAGGACTAGTTGTGTGTATGACGACTTTATGACATACACGGGGATGTGTGTTTGTTGTCATGTCATGTATATGAGTATGAGAGACGACCTGTAATTGTTTTTGGAAGATGTCAAGAAAACCTTGAGCTAGAGAATCTGGCCTGTAGTGTTGTAGATGCTGCTTTATCATAGACGACAGACCGTAAATATAGAAGCTTTATGTTGTAACTTCTTGTCCTATTTATTTTCAAAGTTTACAATAATCTTTGCAATGTATATCTCTGATTCTCTGTTCATTTTACAAACTGATTTGTGTAGATTTGACTGTGGCATGTGTGTGTCGTAACTTGTTGAATAGTTTGACCTTGGAAGGAGCTACGTCAAAGAAGGAAGCCAGGGCTATTGTCAGAATTGGACAAGTTGTGAAATGGGTGATACCATACCAGGGTGTGTGCATGCATGTCTGTCTGTGTGTGTGTGTGTGTTTGTGTGCATGCATGTGTGATTGTGTGTGTGCATGCATGTGTGATTGTGCGTGTATGCTTGTGTGTGTGTATGGGTGTGTATTAATGGTATGCGTGTGGAAGGAACGATTGTTTATCTAATCAAATTTTTGCTGGTGTTTGCTTGAGCCCGGACAGGGCCATCTGCCCTCTGATCTGTACACTGCATTTGACGTATTATACTTCTGTCCATCAATCAAAACAAATTGATTTTTGTATGATTTTGTTATACCTGTTAATCCATCTTCTTTTACAACCGTTGTGTCTGAACGTTGGCTTACACTGACTACTTTTTTTCTGAGGTGTGAGGGGATAGTTTACCTGTATACCAAGTTTTAATCTGCTGAGTAGAAGTGATCGCCATCTGGTTCTGATTTTCTAAATGCCTCATCAGTGTCTTGGTGTCTTGTTTCTCTTTACGAGACTCTCATATTTATACACCTGTGGTTTTTGTGTCGTCTCTTGTCATCAGTTACTGGTGCTGTGTAACTATTTTTAGAAGTTTTCGTAGATTCGGGAGTGATTGTCTTGGTGTTTGCATGCAAAACTCTTTTGTAGATAAGTGTTGTTTTTTTTCTCTACCTACTAGTTCTTCCACCGGGAGGGACAGAAATGAAGTACATGGCCTGGTGCACTCAGGCAGGAGCTAGAATACAGTATTACTACTGATGTCTTTGAGCCCTGCCTTCATGGGTGGCATGGGTGTTGTTTTTATGTATTTGAAGCCAGCTATGATCAGTATAATCTTCTGTCGTTGTTGGAGCCAAAGACACTGGTACCCGCTGACTGCTTTACCGTTACGATGGGGATGTCGTGTTTTGTATCTAATCAATGAGGGGTATGACGTACATCTGGAGAGAATTTCTGCTTTGTAAATTTTGGTACAATGCTGTGTGGACTTAATATATTATTGGTCAGCTTTGGAGATTAAAGTTGTTTTTGGGCTGTTTGCATGATATCTAAAAGAATGATTGTTGATTGTTCTCCAAAGTTAGTGGGGATTTTTATATTGAAAAAGAAAGGCATTAGATAATGCCTCTTGTTAACGCGTATGTCAAAATCATAGTTAATCACAATTTTTTATTAATGATAAATTGTGGACAGGTCAGATATTCATAATAGACCGGAAAACGTAGATGTTGAAATAATTTTTGGCAAGTGGTGTTCTTTCTTCCGGTCCTGCACTCTTGTACTTGGGCTTCACAAGACACTTTCTCGGCCCGCCGTTAGGTCTGAGGGAAAAGC